CCCCAAAACCCCAAAACCCCAGAATACCGGGAAATTAAAAAAGCAAAGATAATAATCAAAAGTTCGAAGATTAATAATAATTAAAAGTTCGAAGTTTAAGAATTCTATATTACAAAATTAAGCTCTAACTTTACAATCTATATAATGAAAATCTCAATGTTTTTAGTTCAAGTAAAATTCTTGTTCTTCATTTCAAATTTGTGTATTACTTATTCTCTAAATGTAAGATATATTTTGTCTAAAAGTGAGATAGGAAAAGTTATTGGAGAAATAAGAGAAAATTTCTCCAAACACCCCCTTTATTTACTAGAATATGACCTCATTCAAGCTAACTAATAATGAATACTAAAATACTTTCGCTGTTACTAGCTCTTAATCTAGATTTCAAGACTAAAAGATCTAATAAGAATCATATTTTCAAGATGAACATCAAACTTTAAATCCATTTCAAAGCTTCAATAAGAGTAAGAATATTTCAAGTCAAATGATAACTAATGTGATTAGGAGTTCTAGCAACAAATACATGCCCTGATTATACAATATATTTCCCTGTATTCTTCGGATTATCAGCTACTTCTTGTAATGAGCATGTTTTGCAAACTGGATTTAATGTTGATGTCAATAATAATCTGATATCTTCAGGTTATGTGTCTTCTACAGCTGCGGCAAACTGTCCCTTATTTACTAATGCCTAGATAGGAAAATTCCCCTTTATTACTAAATTAGACTAATATGGCAAAATACTATGGATAAATTTTAAAACATCATCATCAGGTAGTGAAATTTACGGCCCCATATTAAATGACAATTATGCCTATGCTTTTCTTAATGCAACTAACTCTCTAAGAATAATAAGAATTGCAGCATCTACTGGAGTTTAGGATCTTGAAAAAAACTTTGACTTCGCAAGTGCTTCTACTACTACTTTTAGAATAAATTAACTTGTCTAAGTTTCTACTGAGACAGATATCTACGGATATATGACGATTTAAACATCGTTTTTCGCGGCATCATCAGATTTTGAGGTAAAACATTAAAATAAAAGTTCTTTAACAAACTTTAAATATAGGGAATTTTAATGAAATTGAATAAAGATCTGGTTATCTAATGGTTTTAAAGAAGTAGAGGACATTCAAGTGACTATACCTTCTCTATAGATGATATTTGTGTCACTTCAAATAGTATTTGGACTTTAAACTTCTATTATAAAGCCTAGTTTTAATATACGAATTCTGTTTAGAAAATTCAAAAGTCAGATGGGAAAGTCTTATAAGAACTAAGGTGGGCCAATTCTGCTCCTACTGTCAATATAGGCACAATTGTACTCAATAATGATGAAACAAAATGGTATACGGTTAATTATGGTTCTTCTAATCTTCTCACTCATTAAGCTGGAAATACAGCATCTAACACTATGGTGGCTAATTTTATGACTGGATTAATCCTAAAAGAAGTTAATTGTCATGTTGACTCAAGCGGATAGCTTATTCTCATTGGCACATACTAAACTAGTAAATAAATTTTATTGATCTTATAGATGGGATATTCTTATTAAGAATAAATCCGATTACCAAAGCATTTATATAATAACAAGTTTTCAAAAGAGGAACTGTCTCATCGTTAGCGTAATAATTAACCAAAACAGCATCATCTAATTCAGATTTCATATTCCTATCCTATCATAATACTGAGTTATTGGCAACTGGTTATAAATCAAGAGTAACATTTGAATTAATTAACTTTTTTCTGTTTAGATTGTAATATACAAGCTGGGCTATGATTTAATTTTCCCATCGGAAAATTGTGCTAGTGCTTCAACAACATCAGTAATTGGCTCAACCGCGATATCAATGATGGTTTAATCTTCAACAAATCCCTTATTTCCTGTAGTTTCAGAGGCATCGGTTTCATTATCAAATTCAGCATCACTCTCTTTAAATAGTCCATCATCTTTACTAAATTACTATACATTTTAGGATACTTCAACTGCTAGTTGCATGCTTCCTTATGAATCTTTCCCAAAAGAAATAATTTATGATTTGAACACTGATGGTGGTACAGCTAAGGAGATTGGCCCCATTTCAGTTACTTCATGCTCTGGAACAGAATATTCAATAACTGGTTTATAAAATGCTGATGGAACAGCCATTACTGGGACATAAATAACTTATGTATCTGCTACAAAGAGTATTAAGATAATGCTGTTGGCAGCAGACTATGCAAATTATGTTGGATCATTTTATTATAGGATTGGAGCATCTTATTCAGATGTTGTTGTATATACTCAATTATAAATTACAGTTTAGCCACTTACTAGCTATGTTCGAGATCCTTAAGTTCCTAATCATGATACTTCATCATGTTTTGACAAGACATACCCATTTTTTTATGGGCATACATTAGATGTTAATCTCTAGGATTTTAAAATTGACAATTTTGGGAATTTCTTGATTGCAGGAAGTGGCATTAAACCTCCATTTGGATCTGGTGGAACTATCGAGAATGGATTTTTGAGCATGATGGATTAAAGAGGAAGTCCTTATTGGACGTATAAGCTTAACACTTTATAAGATACTACTTCAGCTTAATATTGCTACTAAATTGTTTAATCATCAGATTATGTTTACGGACTCTGCTAATCAAAAGCTAGTATTAACACCGGTCTTGGAGCCGTAGGAATATTAATAAAATTATATCATAACAATGGCAAACTTATATCTACCAGATTATTGCCAGATGATCGATATCAACCTTAAAATTAACTGCCACTTTTCATATAAGTTATAAATACTAATAGATTACTTGTAATTTAAAGATACCAATCATCAGCTGGGGCATAAAAATCTTTTTCTGCTTTTCTCTTTGATGAATCTACTTAATCTAAAATATGGTATTATTATTATCCTACTGATACAGTATTTTAAGATATGAATTTCCTAGTGGACTAAACAAATGGGTATTTTTATCAATTCAAGCATGCACTTCCTAATAAAGAATAGGTTTTTTAATTAAGACTTTCTGATGGGGTAATGCTGCTTAAATCTTTACTCACCACTACCACAAGTGATGTTAAGACATTTCCAGCATTTTATGGAACAGATAAGTTGCTATCTCCTTTTGTTGTTAAATCTACAAGTGACTAGATTCATGTACTTATTTTGAAAAGATTAGATTTAACAAGAGTCACAAATTTCTTCTTTACTTTTCCCTCAACAGCAAACATAGAATCTGCATCAGTTGAGTCTGATTCAAGCTTAAATATATACATCTCTGCAAGCTATTCTTAAATGTTTTTTGCAAAAATATCTTCTAGTTATACAGTAACTGAGTAAAGAATGTGGAAATAAGAGTATACGAACTACTTCTCAACCAACGGAATCTAAATGTATCAAGATATACCATTTTATGCTTTTAAAGGACTTTATGCTTCAACTGATAAAAATTCATTTATGATATTTAAAGATAGCAAAACCTATAACTATGTAGATATTCCTATTCTATCATCAACAGAAACATAATTTTATCCTTCATTTTCTAATACAATACTTAACCCAGTGATAACTGCTCAGACAGGCATCCAAATTGCTGGGCCTACAGAGGCTTAATTTACAGATTTCCTCCAAGATGTTGGTGGTATAAAATGGACCACATTGAGTTTTAGCAATTTAGCTTCAGATAGACTTAATTGGGATATAGCTCCTTTCCCTAATAAATTTAGGGCATACCCTTTACAAGGTTACAAACAATCAATGATAGACATTTAAGGGGCTGGATTTACAGACCCAACAATTTATGAGTTCACGTAAACTTCCGGAACATAGACCATTGTATTAACACTACCACCTAGCGGGAATAGTTGTTAGGGAAGACCTAAAACTCTCCAAGTTTTGAATCCTTATACAGCTTTACAAACTCTAGATCAAACTTTTGTCACATTTGATAGCATAGATACAATTTCAATTAATACTAATGCAGTTGTGAGGCCGTTATAATTCTCACTAAAAGTTAGATATGCTGACTTAGCAGTATAAAGTAGTGAAGCATTTTTAGATTATGCCATCTTAATAAGAATAGTGGCCTAGTAAAACCTGACTATTGCAGCGCATGATTAGAAAGAATGTTTTTAAAATTAATTCTCAATGTCCTTTGGTTCAAACTGCAATACTTGCTTTGTCTATACTAATGGTTTCTATTTAAATAAAGATGATGAGAATATTATATTAGTTGGATAAGCAGATCCAACTAATGCATTCTTTTTAAATGTAGATGCTGATCAAGATGATGCACTTATAGCTAGAATATCACCTACTGGTTGGGTATACTGGTTGAATCAAGTAAGTTCAAAACAAGGTGTAGACGATGCTATTACAGCGATTACAATGTCAAATGGATTTATCTTTTGTTTTTTCAACAATTATGGCAGTACAGAACCAAATAGAATTCATGCTATACTTAAGATAACATACGAAGAGGGGAAGATTTAGTGGACTAAGAGAATTATTCCATATAATCCTATTGATACCAAGAGTTTTGTTGTTGCATCTATGAGATATATGACTGTTAATCCTTATAATAGTTCTTAAATAGTGTCCTCTCTATCATTCTATTGGAATTCTGATTCAATGTACTCAGGAAATATAATGTTCTTCAATGATGAAACTAATTTTAAGTCAGATTACAATATAGTAATTAAACCTTTAGCAAAATTAACAGCATCTAGAAATACTCCTGGCTAAATTTAATTTCATCCAGATTCAAATTTCGCATACTTAGCTCATGCTTCGTACACAATATCCTCAAGCAGTTAAGATCTAATGATAATCAAATATGATGTTTCCACAAAATAAATCTTATGGTCTAATACTTATAATGATGGAAGATCACTCCCCAATTGGGATCTGCTACAGCCTAATTTAGCTTTTTGTACTAGGACCTCATTTTTGTATATGGTAGCTACTAATAATCACGTACATATTGTTAAATTAGATTAAAATGGCCAAACATTGAAAAGACAGTATCTTTAGATGACAGCTGCAAACTTGAATAACATAGAAATTGTTGCTAATGAAGCTAATGGACAAGTTATTTTGATAGGTATAACTTTGTAGTATTATGTTTTTCTTCAACTTGATTCAGATTTAGTGCCTATTGGATATACATTTAGATCAGAGCCGCATAATGGTGCTTAAATCACAAGAGGAAATCTTCAATAAAAAGGCTCTGATTATTACTTAATGGGAATTAATATTGGAGCTTTTGGAACAACTACTCCAACATCTGAGGTAGCATTTTGGAAACATCATTATACTTATTAAAAGAAATGGTTTTATGATTGCCATAGTTTTCCAGTAGAAACAACTTATATAGTACAAAATTATGCAGCTGCTAATACAGTTATTCCTAGTCTGGCAATTGTTATTAGCCCTTAGCAACTATATTTATTCGATGCTGATTTTGTTAAATCTTATTAGTTGTAATAATATGGGACCGGGCTACTTTACCCTAATGGTGATAAATCACATACAGGTTATTTCTAAGAATCACAATCCTTGTGTGAAAATACTGGAATATCTCCACCTGCAATGTAAGCTTTCCCAGCTTTTGAAGTTTTAATGGGCGAATAAAAGACTTTTGATATCTCCTCATTCAGTTTTAAATAATGCCAGAAAATGGGAGTTACTTACACTGTTTATGATGAGGCTTAATCTCTTACAAGAACTGCTAATAATAACTTTATAACTATTAGCTAAAATTCATAATTGATAGTTGATGCAAGAACTAGTCCTCCATACCCAAGTTAGAGAATATTGCAAATAGTCGCATGCAATTAAGTTTTCACAACAAAATGCTCTATGAACGAAGCAACTCTCGTGATTTGGCCATCAGATATAGTTGATGCCCCTAAAACTGAAGGAACTGCTCCTACATGCTAAGGATAGCTGGAATTTCCAAAAATTCTTGGCTATCCTGGGTAATATTTTTCTCTTACTCAGGCAGATATGGATAAAGATAATGGTAATTTTGTAATGTGCGGAAGAACCTCTATAGTTAAGTTCAAAAACATTTAATATCCTAATACTGCAGATGGAGGTTTAATTGTTTTCTCAAGCGTATTTGGTTAAATTTACTGGAGCTACAGTGTTTAAAGAAGAATAAACGCCTAAATTGCTTTCTTTTCTAGTTGTGTGATAACATCAGATGATTTCATATACACTCTTATATATAGAGCGACCTCCACAGATATGTCTCTAGTAAAGTTAAGTTATGAGAGAGGGAAAATTATTTACAGTAAATTAATCCCTGGAACATTTGATATTTTATAGAATTTACCTAAAGTATGGATAGATAATGAAAACAATAATGGATATATCACAGGATACAGATAAGATATTGTAACTTATTCTCTTTACATTCAAAAGTAAGATTACACTATCTTAACCATATTTTAGAATTGATCTTACAATTGAACCATAAATGATTAAATGGTACTCTTATGCTATTCCTACAGGCACTACTCTTTATTCATCTGTTTAAAGTGTTGGATTCCCAACAGATTCTAGTTATTTTTTCGTTTATGGCTACACGAATGTAATGCCCTAAAATGACTACTATAATTACATCTAGAAGTATGATTCTGTAGAGGGAAAAATATTGGCCACAGTAAATCATCCCCGCTATTTGACTACATCTAATCAGAAGATATTTGTTAATGCTGATTTTATCTATTTCGCTTCAGCTGAATATAAAACTAGTATATTCTACAAGTATATGAGGTAATACAACCATAATCTACAAGTTGTTAATGGCTATTATTTTATACTGCCAACAACAAACTAGGTATTATGGACATCGTTAAGCTAGAGCTCAGACTCAATATTTGAACTTTTTCATTATGCTGCTGGATACTATTACATTGCTAAATATGATAAAACAAATATCCTTCTTACTAAATTGGTTAGGTAATTATATTCAGTGGCTAATAAGTTTTAGTTTTTATTATACCAATAATGATATGTATTATCTTTTCAACTTTGAATATGGAGACAATCTTTACTTATTTATTACTGGAAAAAACTTCTGTAAAATAACAAGCTAATTAATATTTAATATAGTATCGAAAGCACCTTCTAATTTTGAGGCAATTATTGATAAACTTACAATTAATCTAGAATCTCCTTAGTCAAGCTTAGACTATGCAACATTATCTGTCACTCAGATTTAAGATTTATCATATTTAGATTATTCTTCAAAGGTCACTTAAGGGCAGGTTAGTTAATACTTATTATTAATGATTAATTTATATAGCTGTATTTTCAAACAAAGCTATAACCTGCTTATGATGAATATTGGGAACAAGTGAAGCAACCAGATATTATTAACTTCTACGAGGCTAAGGTTTTCAAATTCAAGGGAGATTAACCTAGATATTTATAACCACTAGTGAATTAAATTATCCAACTTCCAATCTCATCACCACAGACATATACCTTTGACTATCCAAATGATTGCTAGTTCAACTTGTTAATTTTTACTTGGTCAGTGGATTTTTATTCTTCTCCTCCTTCATTTTTGACATTTACTACTGATTCAATTTAGGCTACATTAAGTATAAACCCAACAAATTTAAATATTGGAACATATACAATTAGAGTGATTTTTACCAATTCAAAGGATACACTTCAATATACTGAAGACTACTTTTAAGTTGAGATTTACCCTGAAATACCATATCCAGATAAATTTAAGTGTTTTGATTGCCCATCTAGGCCAATGACTATGACATTTGGAGTTTAATCTGATTATGTAATTAATTACATGGATATTGATTCGAAGGCAGACTATTATATACTTTGTGGGAGTACCAAAACTCTATAAACAATAGCTGACACCTATTCTTAATCTTTTATACTACAATATACTAGAGGCTATGCAATGACTTTTCACATTACAATGGAAGCAGGTACAACAAATAACTTTGCCTAATAATGTAATTATGGATTCTAAAACTAAATTTACACTATGATATAATCTTTTTCATAAACCCTTGGTGCTGTTGATTCTGTTTACATTACAACACACACAAATTATGGTAAATTTTAGGATGGGAGAGTTTTTAAAATGTAAGATTTAAATCTTAGAGCAGATTAAATGATAGTTGATTCAAATTCAGGTGATACTTATCTTATGGGAAAGTAAACAGGAATATTAATTGCTTTTAATAGTATCAAACATGTATTTCTAATGAAATATGATCAATTCTATTAAATTAAGTTTTTCAGATTTTATGAATATGGTCCAAGTGAAGGTAGAGAAATTACAATTGATTATTTGAATTTGGCTATTTATATGATTCATACTTATCTTTACTCACCATTTAGTAAAAGCTATTATGCTGTTGTAAAAGCTGATTTAGCCGATGGCAATTTAGTTTGGGCAAAAACTCTAAGAGATAATAGTGGGTAAATTTATTAATAAATTTCCACGCCAAATTAATAATTAGGAATCTAAACTATTGATAATTTTATTTACTCGTGCCTTCATTATTAAACTAGTGGATTGACCACCACTGGTACTGAATTATATTTATCAAAGCATGATTAAGATACTGGATTGATTTCATCTTAACTATAATTTGGATTTAATTCAGGAACTGATGTCTTTGGATGTACATTGTAGTATTCTTAAGCATCATCTTAACTTTTAATGCAATATGGAGGAACTGGCCTAACATACATAGCTTTTATAAATATAGCTGTTGATCCAATGACAGTGAAATCATCACTTTTAAAAACATCATTTGCATCATCTACAAACTATAAGCAATATTTAATTGAGAGAAACGCAGCAATGTTCTCTTTTATTTCATATGTTCAATCTAGTATTTCTTACATGACGGTTTTAAGAATAAATGATTTCACCTCACCTGCTTGGGAGGATCCTTGCATTAGTGGCTTTATATAATCAGTTGATACAAGTGTTTATTCTGGATATAATTTACCTAATGGCATTAATGGTGATTAAAGTATTCATTGGAAGGATTTAACTCCTTATACTAGTAGATTAGTAGATAGTGCTGTCATAAATTTTTATTTCACCAAAATGATGAATTTTAGATCATATCATGTTACAGATACAACAGCTGATGTGAGAACTAATTCTGGCTCCTGTTCTAAATATTCTAATCCTTCTTTCCCATAAATTTTAGGTAATAGAGTGGGACCTTATATTAATATGACTGCTGGTTCAATACCAGTTGGAAAATTAACCTATCAAGTTTCATTTAACACATTCGATTAATGTTCATATGATTAAATGACTTATTCCCTTAAATTATCTACTGGAGCGGCACTTCCAAGTTTCATGGTTCATAATCCAGTAACAAATATTGTGACTATTTAACCTAGTTTAAATTTGTATAAGGGTTTGTATACGTTGAGGTATTAGGCAACTCTTACTGCTTCTCCACTTTCAATAAATTACACAGATGTCTAAGTTGAAATTTCAGAAAACTAAGCTCCTTTTGCTTTAGAAGATTTTAATAAGAGTGTTGTCATGTTTGCACATCACACTTACGATTGGGCTATATACTTCGATTATGACAGAGAACTAGATGATTCTTAATTTGAGGTATTTTTTATGAATGCAAATAATGTGACAATTACTGTTCCATGGTTTTAGATACTTGTTTAGAATTCAGATTAAATTTCATTTAGTGCTACAAATCCTCCTTAGCCTGCTAGTGGCAGTTAAACACAGTATTATATCTAAGTCAATATTTGGGATGAATTAAATATTGGGACAAAGCGAAAGTACTTTATCAGTTTGATAATCAAATAAAATTAAGCACCTTACTTAACTCAAATTGTCCCAACTATCATTCCAAAGATTTATATAACATAAAAGTTTGATTTCATTTTCCCATATAACTATGTTATTGACAGAGAAGAGGATACTATTTTTTTTACTTGTACTACATCAACCAATAATGGTTTAAGCGCTAGCTGGATCACAATAACTATTGATCCACTGGGAAATTTTTCAATTGCAGGTTAATCACCCAGAGACAATTCGTTTGCAGGAATTTATACTTTCACTTGTTAACTAAATGATTAATATGATGGATCTCCTAATATTTACACTTTCTCGCTATAAGTTCAACCTAAGCCACAAGTTCAAGTAAATAAAGTGTAAAATAATATTAGCTTTTTAATACCAGAAAATATAACGATAAATTTTGATGAATATTTTTCAGATTAACTTGGGGAACCTTTCACTATTAAATTGCTAATAAATGGAACAATGTATGGGTCAATAAGTACTCCATGGCTCAATTGGGATATTTCAAATCTATAGTTAGATATTAAGGGATCAAAAAATTAGCATGGAGGTAATCACTCGATTTAGTTCTAATGTGATGATTCAATAACAGTGCCTACAGTTCTATTATTCAAAGTCGAAATTATCTAAAATTGGCCTTTAAATATTATTAGCCCGATTAAAGATTTAAGCACATAAGCCAATTCAGCCTTCATAAAATTTATTAATGTTTCTAATGTCTTTATTGATCCTGAGGGTAAAAATTTTACATACTTTATTTAAGAGAAAGACTCTTTAAATAAACAGGTACCTTATTTCATCTTTAGATTTTATCCAAATGGTTCTTTTGGTGGATACACTACTGATGTAAATGTTGGATCTTATAATTTAGAATATATTGGTATAGACAGTGCGAACTAGTAGACTGTGGCTAGTTTCTAATTTTTTGTTAGACGTATGATTTTTAGAAATTATTAATAATTTTAGCTTGTTATTATAAATGCTAAGCTTGTTGGGATATTGACTATAATGCTTGCTAAGAGTGTAAACTAGGTTTCTACTTTTATTTCAATGAATGCTTGGATGAGTGTTTTCCTGGAACCTTCGCTGATGATATAGATAAAATGTGCAAAAAATGCCCGCAAGAATGTGTGTTATGTTTCGGAGCTGATAGCAAATCTTAATGTACAAGATGTAAATCTGGATACTATTTGTTTAATAATGGCTGCTGGAAGTCATGTCCGCCAGGAACTTACGGAGACAAGTCCGAAGGCACATGTAAAAGTATTATTTGTTCTTAACCCATTAACAATTATAGAATGCCATTCTTCCTGTTCTAAATGTTATGGACCAAGTCATTCTAATTGCTATAGTTGTAATTAAGTGGATTATTATAATGAGAAAAATGAATTGAAAATACTGGGCTATAATTTGGTTGGCAATGATTGCAGGATTCCACAATGTTTAGTTAGACAATATTTTGAGTGGTTTCCAGTATTTTTAAATGATCAAATTAGTGGCTTGTGTAAAGATTGCCATCCAACCTGTAGGAGATGTGTTGGTCCGAATGAAAATGATTGCTTACAGTGCATTTTAGGATATGAATTCGATCCAAAACTATTTATATGCATAAAATGTGAAGATATTATTGGAATGGAAACTAATTTAAATGGTGAATGTGAGGATATGTGTGGAGATGGAATCATAATAAATAAACAATGTGATGATGGCAATAGAATATCAGGTGACGGTTGTAATAATGAATGTGAAGTTGAGTTTGGATATGAATGTCTAGTAGCCAACTAGCCATGTAGAGAGAATATTAGACCTGACTATCGAATTGTCACTGTTAGCAAATCTAATCAAATTTTCTTCGAATTTACAGAGGATGTATACATAAATAATTAAACTTCAATAAGTCCCTCTAATTTGAGAGTGAGTATAACTAGAAATCAAATAGAATATAAGTTTTCTTGGAGAATTGCTGTTGATAAAAATAATAAAATTATCCCAAATTAACCTATCAAGAGATTTTCTATAATACTTTTTGACATTAAACAAAGCATGACAGGAAGAGAATAATTAAATGTGCAATTTATAGATGAAACATAGATTTTTGATCAAGCCGGAAATTATCTTCTGAATGGATAATTGAAGACTATAAATCCTAAGATGTTTGTTTATTTCACTTCGGGTGAGGATAAACTTGCAAAAGTGAGTGGTTAAGTTGTAAAAGTTTCCTTCGTATCTGTATGCAGTTTTAACATAGCTTTTAAGGTACTTATGAATTCTTCAATGCAGTATTTATGGGGGCTTGTACATGCTTTACAAGTCTTCAATTTTTTACTTTACATTAACATTGAATTTCCTGAAAATGTATAAATATTCGCAAGTTATCTTTCAGTAGCTTCAGGTGAATTTGAAGAACTTAATTCATTTATACCAGTTATCTCAGACTACATAATCGAATAAGGTGATGTAAATGAACCTTATGATTTATATATTCTAGACCAAAAATTTCTAGAAGATGAAATTTCACCTTACTTTATAATTGCTTTTGGATAAAAATTGACTCTATGGTGTGTTGGACTATTGTTTATTCTACCAGTAGCAATGATTTTAAATAAGATTTGGAAAAAAGTATAGTTTTGGGAAGAAGTTGTGTAAGGATTTTTCTTTAATGGTCCACTTAGAACATTTGTTGAAATGTATATTGAGCTTATTTTATAAGTACTCATAAATACCAAATTCATTAAGTTCAGTAATTTCAGCTAGATGGTTTCAACTTGTACAGCTTCTGCTTTTGGTTTTATTTCACTTTTTCTCCCGTTTCTAACAATGACAATTATTTATCATAATAGAAAGAAAACTTCACATAATTTTTGGAATAGCAGTTTTGGCATGCTCACTGAGGAAGTTAAAAGTCAATATATTCTACAGCTCTACTATTATCCAATAATGATGTATCAACGATTACTCATTGCAGCTATAATTGTTTATCTCTCTAGCTATCCTCTTATCTAATGCGTGTTTGTCATTCTCTTAAACATAATTATGACTGCTTACCTGATAATATATAAACCATTTAAGCTTGAAAGCTAATAAGTCACTAGTGTTGTTGACGAAATTATGATTGGGATATGTGTATGTACTTTCATCTATATTCACGAAGGACAGATTGAGATAGAATAGCTGAAAAGAGCAGGTTGGTTTGTAATATTCCTAATTTTAATTTCAATGGGAAAAAATCTAGCAATTGTGATATACTATGGAATCTTAGTTGCTAAAAATAAATACTTTATTATGTTTAGAATGGAAGATGAGGCGGTTGATTCGCCTTCATCAAGTATTGCATCTGATGAAAGCTCAAATTAATAAATTGATACTTAAGTCGTTTATGAGGAAGTCTTATAAGGCAATTTAATGAAGTGTAAACTGTCTCCAACAAGTCGTAGTTTGACTTCTTAGCATGACTTTCGCAAGAATAATCCAAAATATCACGATATATTTTAGAAATAATACAATTCATTAGCGAATGGAGTTAAATCCCCGAGATTCGGCTAATCAATGGATTTTGAATTTTGAAAGCATTATTATCTTGATAAATTTTAATTTTTTAATTTCATAATTCCAACTATTTTAAAAACATAGGTTAATGGGGTTTTGGGGTTTTGGGGTTTTGGGG